CGAAGTCGTTTCTCTGGGATACGGTCGTCAGTGGGAGAGTTTTCGAAGGGACCAGCCAGGGACTCCATGTTGATGATTTGTCGCTTCATAGCTGGAGTACTAGCATGCAAGAGTGTATTTGCCAGCTCAAAGGGTTGGCTACTACGCTGGCCTACCACATCTCCACCACCCTGCGCGTGCCGCTCTCGGAGCGGAAGATGTTTGCTGCCGCCAACTCTAGGGGCCTCCTGATCAAAGTGAAGTCTGAATTGGGTTTTCTTGCAGGGACTACGTCTTGGGCTCCTGGAAACCTCGGAGTGGCTTACACTACTGGACGTCATCAGAAGGTTTGTGCTGCTAGAGTTATCCGTCGAAAGAGACTGGTTAAGTTTGTCCATCGACACAAACGCCTGGGGACCATGAAACTTCCTCGCAAAGTGAAGGCTCGGCTCTTCAAGGCTGGAGTTTTGTCTACTATCTCATATGGCATGGAAGTGCAGGGAGTAACCCCAGGGGAGATCTTACACATAAGAAGAGCCGCGGCCAGGGCCTCTGGGGTCTCAAAGAAGGGTTGTGTCCTCGAACTCCAGTGGGCCATAAATAAGTACCGAGGTGACCCCTTGTTTCTTGCTGCAGGACCTCTGAAGAGATATGCCTGGGAGTGGTGGCACACAAGTGAACCGACTACTCGTGGAAGGCCCAGGCACCAAGATGTGATGAGCCCTGGCGAACTGAGCCGAAGTTTTAATGCAGCAGTGCAAGTGTTTAAACAAACAGAGCGGAAGCCATGGTTGTATCGGACCCGCGGGCCTGTGTCGGCCATGCTGCTGTGGTTGGAAGCTGGCGGATGGAGCTGGGAGAGTCCTGCTATTTTCGTCTCTCGGACTGGATTTCGTTGGATCCTCACGGAGCGACCTCCAGCCCAGGTCGCCGAAGCTTTCGTTTCAGATCTTAGGTGCACTATGCTCCAGAAAGTTATAACACGTAAACTCAGAGACACTCCTGGGGGTCTAGAGTTTGTTGCAAGAGGCTTATGGCTACCCATGATGCAGAGAGTAGCACGAAGCCTCCCTGCAGCCCAGTTGCACGTGTACTGTCAAGTTCTCTCGGGATCGCTCCCGACTGCTGAAGCTCTTGCAGGGTGGGGATATCAAATCGACCAGCGGTGCCCCCTCTGCAGAAGGTGTAGAGACACACAGTGGCATCGCGCTTGGGAGTGTGACCACCCCAGTGTGGTGCAGGTGCGGTCCCAGCATTTTGGAGAAGATTTTTTGGAGCAGGTCCACCGGGCTGATCAAAATTCGTTTCTGCTTTCCAGGCTTTGGGTCCCGTACCCCGATCTTCCTTCTCCTGTGGAAGACTGGATGCTGTTCTTTTTCGGGAGTGACGGGACCCCAGTTGACGAATTCCAATTTGAAGCAGAGGATGACCTGTACACAGACGGGTCATGCCTCCAGCCTGAGACAGAGGAGATTGCGAGGGCTGGTATTTCGGTCGTCCAAATGAGAGGCGACCAGCTAGTTCGAGGAGTTTACAGCCCCCTCCCTGCCCAATTCCTACAGGCTGCCAGCGACGCCGAACATGGTGCGTTGGCGGTGGCCTGCCTCAGGAGGAAAAACCCCACCCCTGAGCAGGTCCCGAAGCCCATTTCTGTCGACTGTGCGTCCCTGTTTCTCGGGACCCGTGACCCTCCTAGGGCCCTGTCGGGGGCGTCCAGGCTCTCTTTCTTTTGGCGTGAAATCTCCAGGAGGCTTCTCGAAGGCCCTTGGGTGGATTTAAAGAAGATTAAGGCGCACAGATCCATTGACCAGGCCGTTGATGAATGCGACAGGTGCACCATCATCGGATCAGATTATGCAGACAAGTTTGCCAAAGTTGCAGCCCAGTGTCAGAACCTTAACCCCCAGGAGTTGTCTGACTTTGAAAGAGGAGAGCGTGAGTACCTCAGTCTTGTAGAAGGTATTACTTCTGTGCTTGTTTGTTTTCCGTCCACCGAATCTATCCATGGGAAGCTCACTAGGCCTACGAAGGCCAAGGTCCCAAAGCCTGAGGGCCCTGAGCACCAGCCTGTTCCCCATGGGAACGTTCTGCGTTGCAAGAACTGTTTGAGGGTTGTCACGGGCTCGTGCAAGACCAAGTGCGAAGGTCCTAACCCGTCTTTGGCTTCTCTCCTGAGGGGGGAAGGGGGTTTAGGACACTCTTTGCACTGGGCTCGCCTCGAGCCGACCCCTGCCACTTCTGATTTTCCTGTTATTTTCTGTTCCTCTTGTGGAGGCTTCGCCAGCACCAGGGCTGGGCCACGCCTCCTTGAGAGATGTCAGCCCCCGCAGAAGAGTGCCGAACGGTCGAAACTCCTCAGGGGGCTGCTCCCAGGGACCCCTCACAAGCTGGGCCAATATTTCCCCCTCTCGTCCTTCCCTCCTCTGTCCTCCCTCGCCCCTCAGGTTGGTCCCAGGCTTGGGGTCCCTGCTGCTCTTCCGCCGCCCCCGCCGCCCGCCAACGTGCGGGACGAGGAGGACGAGGCACCGCTCCTCCCCCCCATCGGCGGCCGTTCACAGTCTGACGACTCGGACTGACTGTAGTCTAGCATCGGCTGATCATGGATTGACCAGGTGCTCGATGGCTTGAGAGGCTTGAGAGGAGGTGACCCGAAAGCGCGCGAAGATGATTACGTACAATTCTCGCTTCCTGGCTGGGCCTAGATAGTCGTCTTTTTTTCTCGGGTCAGCGCGAGGTGTTCTCGCGCATCCCGTTTTTCCTAAGTGGATGGTCGCTATGGACGACGTCCTTCGCGCATGCGCCAGACAGATTTCACCCGCTGGGCGAGAAGATTGGAGCCTGAGCGCCTTGGACGCAGAGTTGGCTTCCTTGAAGGCCTGTCTGAAAATCTATCCAGCTCCACCGACCCTAGGAAGAGGGGGAGGAGGAGGAGGAGGAGGAGGAGGAGGAGGAGGAGGCGGAGGAGGATGAGGCGGAGGGGGAGGAGGAGGGGCAGGAGGGGCAGGAGGAGGGGAGGAGGAGGAGGAGGAGGAGGAGGAGGAGGAGGAGGAGGAGGAGGAGGAGGAGGAGGAGGAGGAGGAGGAGGAGGGGATCAGGATACCCTTCGAAGGCTCCGAGGGAGCAGAGGCGCGCACGAAGACAGGCCGTGGATTCTCCCAGAACAGGTTGGGAGAGCGCCTCGGCAGAACCATCGTGCCGCCTCTCCCGAGTGGCATGCGGCCCATTCCGCCACCGTGTCCGGGTCGGGGCCTTGAATGCAGATACAGTTCATGTAGGGTGCCTCTCGGGGGCTTCCAGGAGGGCTCTGCAATGCCTCTTGGTGGCCTCTTGAGGGCTTCTTGGAGCCTCCTGGGAGTCTCCTGGGAGCCTCCTGGGGGCATCTCAGATGCTTGGGGTCTTCAAGAGGCCCCCAGGTTTTGGGGGCGCCTTGTTGTGGAGGGCTCGAAATGTTAGATCGTGCTCTCTACCTTAGAAGCCTGCAGTCTTACGAGCTTCGAAAGACTGCAGAGGCGAGCAATTCTCACCAACTATAAGAAAATAATGATTGTTGTATCGTGGGGCCTTCTTGGGGATCCTCTGGGTGGCCTCTTGGGCCGTCTTGAAGCAATCTTGTGCGTCTAGGTTATAAGTTGCCGACAGGGGGCCTGTACTGACCCGAAGATTTCACTTACCTTGGTCCTCTTCAGCCTCTTCCCATGCTCTTCCTTATCGAGAAGATGTGGAGTCAGAAGAAGATGGCACCATTGTGTCTCGACGGAGGCGCTTTGGTGAGTAGCGGCCTTCTCCCCCGCCAAAATCACATAACTCCCTTGTGGGCGTCCCGCATCCCCGTCCTCTCACCCCATCCTTTCTTTTTCTCTACCCGAAACCCCCTGCACCGTTGAGACTCCAAGCGCGCCGTGACTCCCAGCAGAGGCCTTCCGAGTGGAAGCGGCTCAGCGGCCGGGCGCCGCAGGCAGCGGCGAAGCGGCCCATCCCTCGTCACTAGCCGAGGTAGCGATGCCCGGGGTTCCAAAAGTGTTTTTCACTTAATCAATTAGGGCCCGCCCCGTTGGCACGGGGATATCGCGCTGCTCTTCGGTAACTTTTGGCTTCAGGCCCGTCCCCAACTATTCGTCTCATCCCGTCCCCCATTTTCCCTCTCCGTCCCGCTCTCTCCCCCTTTCTCTAAACTTCCCTAATTCACGGTGCTCCCTGCACCACTATGACTCCGAGCGCACCGAGACCCCCAGCAGAAGCAAGGCCTTTTGAAAGGAAATAGACACCAGCATCAAGCTAGGGGTCCGCCGTCCCACACGTGCAATGGGCAACACATCGATTTGCAGCTGGTTGGGACCGCTCTGGGAGGTCTCCAGGACACCGTCATCCCACACGTCTGGAGGCACAAACATGCTCCAAGTTTCTTCGCGGGGCCGGTCCCCCGTCCCCCCCTTTTCAGGTAGCTTCTGCACCGCGAAGACTCCAAATGTGTTGTGACCCAAGCAGAGGCATGGCCTTCCGAGTGGAAGAGGGCAAAAGCCTCAAGCTGAAGCTTCGAGCGCTTCAACGAAGCCGATTTCCCTTCGACCCAACTAGCTCCGGCTAGCCTTCTACGCTGCACTGCCAGCGTGTCTCGACCTCAGCTTATTGTATCTGGCACGTCTCGCTCCTTCTACCCTCCATCCCCAGATGTACACACACGCACACTTCCTGTCCTGTTGCCATCTCTCTTTGCCCTCGCCCCCTTTCCATTTCTCCCGCTGGCTATCCACAGCGCTTCGCCTCCGCTGTGGCTGCCGTCGTCGTCGTCGTCGCCGTCCTCTTCCTCCTCCCCCTCCTCATCCTCCTCCTCCTCTTCCTCCTCGTTGTCGTCATCGTCGTCGTCTCCGTCGTCGTCGTCGTCGTCGTCGTCGTCGCCGCCGCCGCCCTCTTCTTCCTCCTCCTCCTCCTCCTCCTCCTCCTCCTCCTCCTCCTCCTCCTCCTCCTCCTCCTCCTCCTCTTGCCGGTCCGCCGCCCGACCCCGAAACAAACCGGCCGCACAGCGCACCCCTGGGCCGGCTCGAGGCGCCTGGGTGTGCTGCTGCGGCAGAACATCCCCCCCGGCGGCCCGCGGCCCAAGCGCTGCGGGGCCGCCCGGGCGCGGCTGCGGAGGGCACGGTGAGCCTCGGCGCGGCGCCAAGATACGTTGCTCCCTTCCCTCGGCGTCGGGGCCTGACGACTTTTCCCCAATCGGCCTGCGGGGATCCGGCAAGACAGATCGAGGCGCAAGCCCAGACAAGCCAGGGAAGAACAGGCCGAGCCGAGGTGAACGCAGAGGCCTCCCGGGAAGTCTGGATTAGAGCGTGGAGGCTCCAGCGCGAGCCGACGGGGCATCAGGAGTCGCTGATCCCTGAAAGATCCTTACCCTGTAGCTGTTTGTTCATCTGCTGTCCACCTCCTCCGGGCCCCACTTCGACTTCGCATCCTCATATGCCCCCGTCTGCCTTCATCATGGTCCTCCTTCGCTCCTGCGCATGACGCGTCTCGCCGTTTCTGCAATTGCACGGCCGGAAAGTTCAAACATTGCAGATTGGGAAACAATTTTTCTCCTTGCGCCACACCAAGGCCCCAAGAACAACCGAAAGACAAGCGAAACCTTTCGCACCCACCCCGTCCGCGTCACTGGACATGTGGCCCAAACGCGCCCCCCATAAAATTTCAAACGGGCTCGCGAAGGGCGGGGTGCCTGGGTGATCCATTCCTTGAATTAACAACTGTATTGGAGCCTGGTTTGGGGCGATTATGCTTGGGACGTCCTCAAAATCTGCCGAGTTTGGGCCCTGGTTTGGCCCAGTATGGCCTGGCTGGGCGGCGCAAGCCGCCTGAGACATCCTCCGAATTTTCTTGGTTTGGCCCCTGGATTGGGCCCGGTCTTGCTTGAGACGTCCTCACAAGTTGCTTCGTTTGGCCTGGTTTGGGCTCGGTTTTGCTTGAGACTGAGAATTTGCTTGGTTTGGCCTGGCTGGGGCCCGGTTTTGCTTGAGACGTCCTCACAATTTGCTTGGTTTGGCCTGGTTTGGTCCCGGTTTGCTTGAGACGTCCTCGCAGTTTGTTTTGTTTGGCCTGGTTTCGGCTTGGTTTCGCCAGAGACGTCCTCACAAGTTGCCATGTCGTGGGCGCAAACACGCGAAATAGGACGGTCTGTACTGAACACACATATTGGTGCTGGCGGCCGTGCGCATCCTTGGAACGGTGCTCGGCCCGCCAGGGAACTGCGCTCCAGCGCCCAGGCTCACCAGGGGTGGGCGATCGGTGCGCCCCTGGAACGGTGTTCGGCCCACCAGGGAACTGCGCTCCAGCGCCCGGGCTTACAAGGGGTAGGCGGTCGGCGCACCCTTGGAACGGTGCTTAGCCCGCCAGGGAACGGTGCTCCAGCGCCCAGGCTCACCAGGGGTGGGCGATCGGCGCACCCCTGGAACGGTGCTCGGCCTTCAAGGAACGGCGCTCCAGCACCCAGGCTCACTAGGGGTGCGCGATCGGCGCACCCCTGGCGGGCCGAGCACCTTCAGGGGTGCGCCGATCGCACACCCCTGTAGCCTGAGCCTAGGCGCCGAAACTGCGCTCCAGCCCCCGGGCTTGCCGGGGGTGGGCGATCGGCGCACCCTTGGAACAGCGCTCGGGCTGCCAGGGAACGGCGATCGGCCCACTAGAGAGTGGCGCTCCGGCGCCTAGGCTGAGGCTCTCCAGGGGTGGGCGATCGGCGCACCCCTGCTAGGTGCTCGGCCCGCCAGGGGTGCGCCGACCGCCCACCCCAAGTGAGCCCCGGCGCCAGAGCACCGTTCCCTGGTGGGCCGAGGACCGTTCCAGGGGTGCACCGATCGCAGCCTGGGCGCCGGAGCACCGTTCCCTGGCGGGCCGAGCAACGTTTCAGGTGCGCGCCGATCGCCTACCCCTGGTGAGTCTGGGCGCTGGAGCACCGTTCCCTGGCGGGCCGAGCACCGTTCCAGGGGCGCGCCGATCGCACACCCCCGGCAAGCCTGGACGACGGAGCACCGTTCCAGGGGGCGCGCCGATCGCCCACCCCTGGTGAGCCTGGGCGCTGGAGCACCGTTCCCTGGCGGGCCGAGCACCGTTCCAAGGGTGCGCCGACCGCCCAACCCTGGTAAGCCCGGGCGCTGGAGCGCAGTTCCCTGGTGGGCCGAGCACCGTTCCAGGGGTGCGCCGATCTCCCACCCCTGGTGAGCCTGGGCGCCGGAGCACCCTTCCTTGGCGGGCTAAGCACCGTTCCAGGTGTGCACCGATCGCTCACTCCTGGTGAGGCTGCAGGCTGGAGCACCCGTTCCCTGGCGGGCCGAGCACCGTTCCAGGGGTGCGCCGATCGCCTGCCCCTGGTGAGCCTGGGCGCTGGAGCACCGTTTCAGGGGTGCGCCGATCCCCCACCCCTGGTAAGCCTGGGCGCTGGAGCACCGTTTCCCTGGCGGGCCGAGCACAGTTCCAGGGGTTCGCCGATCGCCCATCCCTGGCGAGCCTGGGCGCCAGAGCACAGTTCCCTGGCGGGCCGAGCACCGTTCCAGGGGCGCACCGATCGCCCACCCCTGGTGAGCCTGGGCGCTGGAGCACCGTTCCCTGGTGGACCCAGCACCGTTTCAGAACGAAGAGTCTGATAATTTGAAAGGCCCTCCGCTCGATGAGACAGACAGACAGACAGACAGACAGACAGACAGACAGGCCCTCATTCCAGGCCCGAAGGGCGATCCTCTCAGAGGGCAGGCGCATGGGACGCGCAATCCCTCACATTAGAAAGATTGTGGCTATCCCTGCATTGACGTGCGCGGCGCGAACGAAGCAGCCATGCGCCGAGCGCGCGTGGGCAAGGAAAAGAAGGGCGACGCGCCAAAGGCGTTTACGAGCAGACGAAAACGCGTGCCCAGATGGCCTGGGCGCGCCAAATGCGCGCCGAGAGGAAACAAGGGGGAGGAGGAGGAAGAGGAGGAGGAGGAGGAAGAGGAAGAGGACGACGACGGCGACAAAGAGCATGCGATCATGCGCCAAATACTTGCCCGAGTGGCCTGGACGCTCCAAATTCGCACCGAGAGGACGGAGGAGCGAAGAGGAAGATGATGAGGTATGTGTTTTGCCAGCCAAGACGCACAAGTCATGCAATGCATCTCATAAGTATTCGTCTTCTCTACATCCAGTTGGCCTGGAAAACCTGATGTTGAAAGCGTACTATTGTTTCTCGTCCCGGAGCGCGTCCATAAAAGTCCCCGAACTAAGGAAGCAAGAAGAAACAATAGATAGCATTTATGTTGCCCATTCTCTGTTTGGTCTCCCCCGCGCACGTTTTGCAAGTCAGCGCATATTGTATGAGGCTATCAGTTTGCAACGTTGCGGCACGCGGCGCGTGAGTGTTAGGATTCCGGACAATCATCCCAAATAGTTGACAATAGTTGCGATGCCTAGGGTAGCTGTTGGTTTCTCTCCAGAACGGTCGTGCTTGGAACTGTAGAATCAAGCGACTGGGGGATATTCAATGTTTGCCTGAGGCATTCCGCTGGGAAGGTGTCCAATCTTCCCTTGTCGGCTTTGTTGAACCATGCCGAACTGAGGGAGTGCATGATGATAACTGCCAAGAGACGCGTGGGAAAACCAAACCTTCCAAGAGCTGTTAGCATCGCCTCCACACTGATTGAATCAAACGCCCTTTTCCAATCCAGTGCGGCGATTGTTGAACCAGAATTGTTCCCTATGTTTGAGACTTCTAGTTGTCGTCGTACAGTATGTATTGCATTTGCCGTGCCACGCCCCCTGCAAACTGCGTTGCATCGAGCCGGTCTTCAGCACCAGCATGTTGCAGTCGCCGTAGAAGTACATGTGCCACCATTTTGTACCCCACGCACGGTGAGCTGATTTGTCTGCAGCTGTCGCAGATGTGCACAGGCCTTTGTATAATAGTAATAATAATGATACAGGTCATAATGATAGATGGTTTTCACCAAGGATCGCGGCCAAGCTTGCAGAACAACCTCTTCTGACCAACGTGCGTTACATAACTTCGTAAGCCATTCTACACCTCCGGGTAATTGAGCTACTGCTGTCAAGTAATTCAGTTGCCTTGTCACATTCGAGCTCTTGAATTACTTTCCCAGCCTTTCGCGTTGCAAGCGCAATTTCGCAAACTGGCGATGTAAGCCCCGAAGAGTCTGTCGGTAATAGTTGTGCTGGTCGTATTCTCCAGCGCTTTCTTCCAAGACAATCCGCCATCGTGGCTGCCCGTTCGGAGCTTTCTACCAATTTCCGCGCCAAATGTTGTAGGCGCCCCTGCTTGCGCGCGCGTGGGCGGCAAAGAAAAAATGCGGGCAACTATATTCCCGCGACAGTGTTCCGAGCAAGCCGCAACAATACGAACGCGTCAGGGTGAAACCGAAAGTAGGTTGGAAGGATGAAGAAGCAGCGGGGAAGAAGGAGGACGAGGAGGACAAGGAGGAGGAGGACAAGGAGGAGGAGGAGGAGGAAGTTAGAAAATCTCCAGGAGGTCAGGCATTACTTCGAGAAAGGTGGTCGGCAAGTCCCCAGGGCCGTGGAACATCATTCGCGTCACGGGCCGCTGGGGAGTTATTCCAAGGAGCCCCCACCACCGCTGCAATAGAGCAAAGTCGGTTCCATCCCCGACCGGGGCTGGTAAGAAACGGTACCGCTCTCTGGCGAGAGCGGGAGTAACGATCAACAGATTCCATCGTCCGTATATTTCTGCTCCATGCATTGGGGAGCCCCAAACCGCGTTTGCTTAAATGCTGTTGTTGCATGTTGCGTGTTGTGGAATAGACAACCTTTTATAATGCCCAGCATTACTGCCCTTGTACGTCGTATTGGTGATATAAGGGCAATGTCGCAGAACGGCGGTAATCCCCGAACAACATGAATATAAATTATGATCAGGTTGAAATACCTCGTGCCTCCTGCCAGCACGGGACTCAAAGTGAAAAATGCATGTTCCAAATTCATATATGGGGTAAATCTGCTACCTTCCTTAAAAGACCCTGCAAGTCAGTTGCGCGCTGGGGCGCCCGCAATTGCTTTCCGTCATTTGAGCTCGGAAGTGCGGATCGCTTTTTGCGGCCGCAATGAGGCAAGTTATTAGCGAAATCGCCGCGTAAAGGCACAAAGGACGTGCCAATATTTCTTTTCTGGTTAATCTTGAACTCCGCGTCTCAATGGCGCAGCAATCGAATTGGGGTTTGCTCGGGGTAATGCGAGCGGTGTTGTTCAGATTCGCCAGATGGAACAATACGACGTTGCCAATGGTCGAATACTTTGGGATTGCGATACAAGTTCGCCCTGAATTCGCGAATTTGTTCAGCACGCCGAACCGATAATAAAACGGGCCCGCGCAATCCGAGACTATTGCAGAGCAAAGGCAATGCCAGATCTTGAGACATTGCTTGCGCAATTTCCATACTTG